TGAAAATATGTATTATGCCCATCTGTCCAAGTCAGACCTAAAATTATCAGAAGTCAAGTCAGAAATTATATCCCTTTTCAAGTGCACAAACTTAAATAAGATACCATATATACATACTAAAATCATACTGTTTTGAAGTTGAGGTAACATGAATTCATGAGATTCCTTTTTTAACATTTTTAATATTGCTATATTCTAAGTTACATCTAAAATATTCGACCCAAAACATGGTATACGCGTCAAATCACTAAATAACACCCCTTCTATGCGTATTTTACTTCAGCTTGCGTACCATATTTTATTCACCCCCCCCCCCCCAGGGTATTATGTCACAGCGTCCAAGTCACATGAGGACTGAGTGGACCCTGTGTGTGTTGAGTTATGTATGAAGATATGTAGTAAGTAAGTAAGTAAGTAAGTAAGTAATTCTTTATTGCTATCGTATCCCATTTGAGATCTTGACAAAAAGTACAATAAAGTCAAAAACATGTAATAATAAAAAAATGAAAATAAAAGGAAATACTAAAAATACAGTAAATGAATGAAATAAATACATATCTCACAATAAGAGATAAATGAATAATTGTAATATAATGTAAATAAATGTAAATCTGTGTTTTGTGGGGTTTTTTTTTGAGGCAGCTGGTACTGAAGTTATTGTTTGATTTTTTGCTCCCTAAGCATAAAGCAAGTATAAATGTGTTTTGAAATGTCTTTAATTATGTGATCGTTTTTATTATTTAATATGTTTATTAATGTCTCTCCATGCATTTTATGTTTAGTAAAAAGGCTGGTTCTTTCTTTATCATATAGCTGGCACGTGAAAAGGAAATGTTTCTCATCTTCAATTTCTCCAAGATCACAGACAGGGCATATTCTATCAGAGATGGAGATGTTTTTGTATCTGCCTGATTCAATCTGTAAACGGTGGGCACTTATTCTAAGTTTAGTCATTGCAGCACGATATAGTGGATTTTTAATTATTTGGAGGTACATTTGTATTTCTCAAAAGAAAAATCAGTTTTTATTTCTCTGTATGTTCTCAATTTGTTTTTGTGATGCACACCCTTATCATCATCAAACATGCATTCTTTACTTTTTTTCTGGAATTGCATTTTAAGTTTTTCTGTGATGTCTTCAATAGTAGCATTGCTGTATTTAATTTGCCCATCTTTCCAGATATTACTTAAATTTAGGTTTTCCAAAATCTTTTTCACACCAGATACCCAGTTTTTAGTACCAGAATCATGCATCTTAATAATTAATGTATTATGTTACAGCATCCAAGTCACATGAGGACTGGGTGGACCCTGTGTGTGTTGAGTTATGTATGAAGATATGTATGTCACAGCGTCCAAGTCACACGAGGCCTGGGTGGAACCTGTGTGTGTTGAGTTATGTATGAAGATATGTATGTCACAGCGTTCAAGTCACATGAAGACTGGGTGGACCCTGTGTATGGTGAGTTATGTATGAAGATATGTATTATGTTACAGCATCCAAGTCACATGACGACTGGGTGGACCCTGTGTGTGTTGAGTTATGTATGTATGTCACAGCGTCCAAGTCACACGAGGCCTGGGTGGACCCTGTGTGTGTTGAGTTATGTATGAAGATATGTATGTCA